ACCTGAGCCGAAGGCAGTCACTTAACCAACTGAGCCACCCAGGCGCCCTATTTATTTATTTTAGAGAGAGAGAGCGAGCATGAGCAGGAGGGGCAGAGGGAGAGGGAGAGAGAATCTCAAGCAGACTCTGTGGTGAGCACGGAGCCCAACTTGGGGCTGGATCCCAGGACCTTGAGATCATGACCTGAACCGAAACCAAGAGTTGGATGCTTAACTGGCTATGCCACCCAGACACCCCTTAATGTTGGTTTTGACAGCAACCTTGTAGCTTTCAAATATTCACATAATAAGCCAGTGTTCATAGCAGCATTGTTCACAATAGTCACAAGGTGGAGACAACCCAGTGTCCATCAATAGATGAATGGATACACAAAATGTGATATATACATGCTATGGAATATTATTCAGCTACAACAAAAGAATGAAATTTAATACATGCTAAAACATGGATGAACTTTACAAATACTATGTTAAATGAAATAAACCAGAAGGAAAAATGTATGATTCTACTTACATGAAGTACCCAGGGTAGAGACAGAAATTTTTTCTTTTTTTAAGATTTTTTTATGTATTCATTTGACAGAGAGACAGCGAGAGAGGGAACACCAGCAGAAGGAGTGGGAGAGGGAGAAGCAGACTCCCCGCTGAGCAGGGGCCTGATGCGGGGCTTGATCCCAAGACCCTTAGATCATGACCTGAGCCGAAGGCAGACACTTAACGACTGAGCCACCCAGGCGCCCCTAGAGACAGAAATGTTTTATAAATGTTATTCATTTCATCATTTTGAAATATTTATATTGTGATAAGTTATTACTTTTATGTCCTATAATATCTCTCTCAATAATTATTTTTGTCACCTGCATAGTTTTATGATTATATTTACAATTATTAAACCAACTCTAAGTTTTAACACATTCAAGCGCTCATTGCTAATCTTTTGAGACCATAATTTCCCAATTTGCAAGTTCTTTATTTTGATTCATTTTTCAATCATCTGAAGGGCCTCTTGAGGGATTTTTTGCCCCAGAAGAGCATGTCGGTGGCATAAGATCTGAGTCATTGCAAATTTAAGGTTGTCCTCCATAGCCTTCCCTGATGAGTAATGACTTCACTGGGTTTTAAAATCTTAGGTCCCAACCTTTTCATCTCAAAGTTCAGGAAATGTGTTCTCATTGTCTTTTGGAATTTAATATGACAGAGACATCTGAAGCTATTCTTATTTTTATTTCTTTAGTGATCATCTGGTTTTTATATGTTACAAACTTTTTTTTTTTCTTCCCTGTATCCTTGTAATTAAAAAGTTTCTTGTCCATGTCTGGGTGTGAGCTCCTCTATGTTGGTTTTATGGAATAAGGTTCCTTTGAGCTCCTTATCCCTTGGATTTGCTTGTTTAAAAAAACACATATTTTTAGGGACACCTGGGTGGTGCATTTGGTTAAGCATCCGGCTTCTTTAATGGCTCAGGTCGTGATCTCAGGGTCATGGGATCCGGCCCCACGTGGGGCTCTGCGCTCAGCGTGGAGTTTGCTTGTGACTTTCTCTCTCTCTCCCTTTGCCCCTCTCCCCTGTGCACCCTCTCTCTCTCTCAAATAATAGATAAATCTTAAAAAAAATTTAAAAATATTAATTGTGGTAAAATACATATAACATAAAATTTACTATCTTAGCTCTTTTTCTACCTACAGTTTAGGGCCATTAAGTCTGTCCACATCTTCGTGCAACCATCACCACCATCCATTTCTGGAACTTTTCCATCTCACAGAACTGAAACTTCATACCCATTAAACAACTCCCTATTTCTTCCTTCCACTAGAAACCAGCATTCTATGTTCTGTTTCTCTGAATTTGTGGATTCTAGGTGCTCATATAAGTAGAATCATACAGTGCTTGTCTTTTTACGACTGGCTCATTTCACTTAGCAGAATGTCCTCAAGCTTCCTCCGTGTTGTAGTTTATTGCAAGTTTCCTTCCTTTTTCAGGCTGTATATTCCAAGGTGCATATTCCATCGTGTGTATATGTTACATTTTGTTTGTCTGTTCATTTGCTGATGGACACTTGGGTTAATTCTACCCTTTGGCTATTGTGAATGGTGCTGCTGTGAACGTAGGTGTGCAAACATCTCTAAGAGAAGAGACCCTACTTTCAGATCTTTTGGAGATAGACCCAGAAGTGGAATTGCTGCCTCATATGGTACTTATATGTTTAATTTTTTTCATACTGTTTCCCATAGTAGCTGCACCACTTAATAATCCCACCAAGAGTACACAAGTGTCCCATTTCTTCACATCTTCGTCAACACTTGTTCTTTTCAGGTTGTTTTGTTTTGTTTTTGATAGTAGCCACCCTAATGGGTGTGAGGTGAAGGTTTGCTTGGTTTTTGACTCAGTAACATTTTCTTCAGTTAGGTATGATTCCTATGATCATCTTTTATGCCACTTGCCCTTGCTTCTTAGGGAATAACTTTTATTTATTTTTTTTAAAGATTTTATTTATTTATTTATTTGACAGAGAGAGACACAGAGGAACACAAGCAGGGGGAGTGGGAGAGGGAGAAGCAGACTCCCCACTGAGTAGGGAGCCCGGTGAGGGGCTCGATCCCAGGGCCCTGGGATCATGACCTGAGCCGAAGGCAGACGCTGAGCAACTGAGCCACCCAGGCGCCCTGGGAATAACTTTTAATGTGTAGGTTGACTTTGTTCTCTGTTCTCCAAAATCTCATGTCTTCATTTTTTCTGTTCATGTTCAGGGAAAGCCCGTCTACTGGGTGAGCTCACTGATGCAGCTTTCCTGCATCTCCGTTCTGCTTCTGCGAGTTGGCAGACGGTCTGTTCTGCTTTTCTCTAGTTTCCTAGATTTGTCTTTGTTCTCGTCTGATGTCTCTTCATGTCAGCCTGGTTTCTCCTTCTGTCTTTCTGTCTCCTTCTCCTAGAGGCCGGTCTTAGGTGCTTTTGAGGACGGAGTGCTTTCTGAAAGGTTCCCTGGTTCCCCCAGTGCTGCGCATCCCGAGAAGCCTTTGGCATTTTGTCAGAGGCTCTCCGTTGTCTCTTCAGGTTGAGGAATTGCCAACAAGCATGGGGTCCTTAGTTCTCACCCCTCCTGGGTCCCTTTGGCGGTGGGTGGCCCTTCCCAGATCTCTGAGGAAGACAGGGCAATGCGTAGCATCTAATCCGATTTTTTGTCAAGGCCTCAAGCACAGCTCTGTCTGGCTACAGTGGAATTTTTCTCACTTTTGTCAACTAGTTATCTGATGTAACAAACCAAGAATCACAAACGCGTGGCCAACAGGCTGCCGACAGCCTCTGGGCCTTAGGTGTTGGGCCTGCGTGAGGTATAATATCATTTTAATGCCTTGAAATGGGCCACAGGTTCTCCTGCTCGTCACAGTCCCCACCCCTCCTTATTGTCTGCCCCCAGCTTGCTTCCCTTGTTTACAGTCTCTGCCTGGTGCCTGAGTCCGTGCCCCCCACCCCATGTGCTTAGAGGGGCCAACACACATTAGATCTCAGTGCGTACCCCAGCAGGATCCCAGCTTCTCCCTACAGTTCTCAAGGTGCTCCCCACAAAACTGGGGTTTTTTATTCATTCACCAACCCACATGGATTCACTGGCCCCTGGGATGTGCCCCAGTCACGCTTGGGGCTGTTAATACAGCCCTGAGTATGACACAGGGGGACCTGTCTTCTCTCTGAGGTCAGCTGAGGGAGAGTTACTAATGTTTTGCAAGGAGGGCAGGCAGCAACTCGATACAATCATTTCTTTATCTTCATCTTGATTCTCTGAGTCCTCCCCTAGTTACCTAGGATTTAATCACTATGATCAGTATTTTTTTCCTGTGAAAATGTTGAAAGCGGATCAACTGAGCTGGCAGGAAAAAAACCTCACTGCTTTGCTTTGTAACTAGAAACCATCTTAGATGTGAGATTATTTGAAGTAAAAATAAAATAAAATAAAATTCCACTGTATGCTTGCCTAAGACTACTTCAGCTGGGAATTACCCAACAGGTGGATAAGCTAGCACAGAGCAGTTGGGGCGGGGGGGCGGGGTCTCAGTTTTACAATATTCGGCTTCTTCATTGGGACTTTTTGCAGCTTGTTGGTCTTATGAGCCACCAGGGGCCTCCTGAGGCTTTCTGGCCATCAGGACATTGGTTGGAGAGCAGACCTGCCCCGGGGAAAGGTGTCTCTGTAGGTGTTCCCAGAATCCTGACTCTGCGGACTGATTTTCACCTCTTGTCCCTTGTGTGGTGGAAAATACATTAAGCAACTCTGGGGCGCCTGGGTGGCTCAGTCGTTAGCGTCTGTCTTCGGTTCGGGTCATGATCCCAGGGTCCTGGGATCGAGCCCCACATCGGGCTCCCTGCTCTGCGGGAAGTTTGCTTCTCCCTCTCCCACTCCCCCTGCTTGTGTTCCCTCTCTTGCTGTCTCTCTCTCTGTCAAATATATATATATTTATAAAATAAGCAACTCTAGGGACATCATGCTGACTTTTAGAAGAGCATAAGGAAGGCGTGGATGGGACAGTTAACTATCCGCAGATGCAAGTAATTTAGATGCAAAGTAAAACTGCATTCCAACAGGCCTATTTGGCTCCCTGCTTGCTCTGATAGTAACAGGCCAAAAGATCTTTCTGTTCCGGGTCATCCATTCATTGTATCATTCAACATTTGTATGCTGGGATTTGCAAAGTGCTTTTCAACAGTCATTTCTTGTTTGCTGATACAAGGACAGCGTGAGCAGAGTTCAAGGCTATGGAGAACGGACAGCGGGACCTCCAGTAGTTAGAGCTGGCTCTGCGCCATGTGCTTAGCATTTATGCCAATGATCCTCACGCAGAGGATCTCTATAGGAGATCTGTAAAGTAGGGTTTGGGGCCAGAAATTTGAACTCGGAGGACCCTTGCAAGACGAATCTTATGTGATAATATCTACGTACCTTCCGTGAGCCAAATATAGCACCATCCACATCTCTGTCTGAGGCTTCCTTTCTGCTTGTTTTTCAGAAATGTGAAAATAAAAACTGGAGAATGGTTCTTTGAGGAACGAGCCAAGAAATTTCCAACTGAAGGTAAATGCTCTTAAGTTTTTTTCTAAGGTAAAATGATATACTCCCAGTTTTAAAATATTTGGTGTTAAGACTTTTTGACTATAAAAAACTTTACAGGCCGGGGGGCACCTGGGTGGCTCGTGGGTTAAGCGTCCGACTCTTGATTTCAGCTCAGGTCTTGATCTCAGGGTCGTGAGTTCAAGCCCCATGTTGGGCTCCGCGCTAGGCATGGAGCCTACTTAACACAAACAAACAAACAAACAAACGAACAAACAAACACTTTACAGGTCATGGTAGACAGGCCTTGCCCTTCTGAGCTCCTGTTCTGTTTGGTTGTGCTTTCTGTGCTTACCCTTTGGCCCATGCTGCTCAGCATCTTTCATTGCGGTGTTCCCCTCAGTACCCCAGCTCTCCCTGGAGTCTCCCGAACTTCCTGCTTGTGGGAGTGAGCTCTCCCTCCTCTGAGACTCCAGCAGCTCTGGTTTGTCCATCCCTTCCATAACTGGGGAAGTGCCTTATGCTGTATTATTTGCATGCTTCTCTTTCTCTCCATATGCAGCAACTGTGCTTTTCAAATCTTGTTAGCCCCTTACGGCACCGAGCACAAAACCTTGTTCATGATACTTGAACAAAGTGATGGAATAGCTGAAGGCCCTGGGTAGGGGATGGTATTAGAATTTGGCAGAGGTTGATGATTAGGAAGTGAGCGCATTTCATGAGTCTCTGAGTGCAAGTGTGCATATGGTCTGGGCACCTGGAATATCTTATAAAGTATTTGCGAAGCTGATGTAATGGTGTAATTGGTAGCTGGGGCCAGAAGCCATGGGGAGAACTAATTCTGCGCTGGTAACAGCAATGCCACGTCAGGATGTGAGCTGCACAGACAAGGGAATGGCTTATCAGACAAAGGCACACACAGGTGTCATCAAAATCAAATGGAGCCCGCATGCTCTGTGACTCGCGTTCGTCCACAGTGGTAACACACATCCTCTGTGATGTGCGTCAGTGGGGACTGCACACAAGGAACCTAGTCTGACCTAGAGGGAACAGGGTGGCTTGAAACCCTTCTTTCTTCTGGAAAAAGTGACCGTTTGAGATAAAGAAAGAAGCTATTTAGCCACAACCCAAAATGTGTTGGCAAGGAAAGGAAGCCATGTGTTGGAGCGCTGACACTCAAGCTTTTATAAAAGGCACTGTTAGCTGAGGTTGATAATCAGTTGGCATTACATTCTCTCCTGGATTATATTCCAGACTCTTCTTACTCAAGCAAAGATTATGTTTCTGCAGAGTTTCTTACAAATCTGGAAGGAAATACAATGCTAAGGGGTATGTTCGAGCAAATGGTGAGCAAGTGCGTGTCGTCTCACTCAGGACAGTGCTTCTCCACACTTTTCCTTACAGCCCACTCTCCTGTCCCAAGCAGCCTTGCTAACACTTTTTCCTAAATACTACCCGTCCATGAAAATTTACTACCCCAGGTATATTTCTGTTTCTGTACTGATACCTTTTGGAGCACACTAAAATTGGTCTTATCCACTAACCACCCTTTTTGCCTCCCTGGGGCTGTCGTCCCCATTTAGGGCATAATCTAGACAAGCATGGCAGCATGAGGTCTAAGTTTTATTGCTTTGTGTCTTTAAAATACTTTTTTGTTGGGGTACCTGGCTGGCTTGGTTAGTAGACATGTGGCTCTTGATCATGGGGTTGTGAGTTCAAGCCCCACGGTGGGGAGTAGATTGTACTTAAAATTAAAAAAACAACAACAACAACTTTTTGTTAGGGGGCTGGGGTCTTCTTCAGGTGGTAGATTCTCATTTTTTCACTCAGTTCCTACTTCATAAACAGTAAGACTGGGGAGTGAAATTTCTGTAATTTCTCAAAACAAGTCCATGAAGACCTCTCCTGGAAACTTTTTCATACACTGTTGAAAGTTTTAGTACTATTATTTCAATGGGGGAAATGAACTTGCAGGCCAGAACACAGGTGTGTGGCATGCATGTGTTGCACACGTGTGTGTGCGCTCGCGTGTGCGTGCTCCTTACCTTCTCATCATCTTTCTGGTGCTCTTCTGGTGAGTAAAAGTGAACAGAAGCAGTTAGGCTGGCCACCTGACATAAGAAAAGGTGTAGGATAGGAATGAACCTGAACTCCTGGGTTTCTCTTTTTTGTCCAGTGACTTTCCACCAGAATGAAAAGATCAAGAAAAAAAAAAAAGTTGACAATGAAAGTCAGCCGGAGAAGAAATCCTTTTACTGTCTCTCCCAAGGTATAAAACAAACAACAACAAAGAAAAAACAAATTCCTTCCTCCTCTGCACTTGCTTCCTCACATGCTGAGGTGTCCCATTTTCTTATTGTCCAATTTTAGGCGAGTTGGGCTCAAAAGGCAGGGAGAGACCAGGGAAAGTACCAAGCTGGGGGAGCACACGTGTGAGCCGAAGCTCGGGTGGGTGGGCGGAGGTTGGCAGGCGAGGAGCCGGGAAGGGCCGTCGGGGTGATGGTTCGCCCGGGCAGGTGGGAACCCCCTTGCTTACACCTGTGCCCCTACCAGACAAGCTGGTGCAGGTACAGTAATTGGGTGGACTCTGGTCCACGTGCTGTATCCGCTGAGGGCCATTCAGGAAAACAGAAACCACGTGGGGATTTGAGCAAAGAGGATTTAATTTAGGGAACTGGTGAAACAGGTATTACTGGAGGAAGAGAGGCAAAAACGGAGGCCTGTGGGAAGCCCTGAGGTGGTAACTGCAGGAGGCAGACCCCTCGGTTCCGGGGCTGGGCGGATGTGCTCCGGAACCTCCCGCTTTCCGGTCTCTCTGGCGCCCCCTGGTGGGCCTGGTGGGGAGCCCGCCGCAAGCCCTGCTCGCCGCTGTGCCGGAGACTGCGATTCTGCGCGTTACCTAGTGTTTGTTGTAATGCTGGGAATGCGGGTCTTTCCAGCCTTCCACATCCTCATCGGAAGCTGGAGAAACGAGATGGTGGTACGAAACACCAAGGCGTACCAGATGGCTCAAATCTGTGCCTCTTTCTATTGCTGGATAACAAATGCCTCCAAATGTTAAAACAATCAATATTATTTTATATGGTTTCTGTCTTCAGCTGACGGGGCTGGAGGATCTGCTTTCTGACGGGCTCATGCACATACCTGGTGTGCTCATGGTGCTGATGGCCGCAGGCCTGGGTTCCTCCACACCCCCGCCTCTGGCAGGGCCGCCTGAGTGTGCTCACCACGTGGTGGCTGGCTTCCCCCAGGGCACTGGCGTGAGAGACAAGGCAGAGCCCTACCTTTTTTATATTAAAAAAATTTTATCATGGTAAAATATACACAACATAAAATTTACCATTTTAACCATTTTTAACCGTACAGTTCAATGGTATTAAGGGCATCACGTTGTATAACCATCACCACCATCCATCCTTAGGACTTCATCCTCCCACAGTCTCCCCTGCCCTCACCTCCCCAGAACTCCTAGGAACTTCTATCCTACTTTCTGTCAATCTCTTTTATGCCCCGGCTTCACAAAGCACACCTTGTCATTTGTGCTCTATCCGGTGGTGACACAGGTCTGCTCTATTCAGGGTGGGAGGGACAGTACAGGGTGGATCAGGAGGCAAGGGGCCCTGGAGCTCATCAGAAGCTGGCTACCGTAGCCTGTATTCCTTACCCTAATCCACGCACCTGAGACTCATACCTGACTCCCTCCTGGCATCCAGTCAGTCAGCAAATCCTGACCTTTCTGCCTCCCCAGTATCTTGAACCTTTCCCCGGCTCTTCAAACCCACTCCTAATGCAGGAGCTCCTAGCTGGTCCCTACGAGTCCACCTGCTTCCCCCATACTCCATCCTCCATTTTGTGAAGAGGGAACTTTCTTTTCTCTTTTAAAAAAAGTTGTTCATTTTCTGATTATAGAAGTAATGCATACTTTTTGTAGAATATTTGGGAAATTCAGGACGGTGTACAGAAGGCAATAAAAATCCCTCCACTCAATAAACAATGTTAATTGTGCACACACACTCTTCCAGTCTTCTCTCTAGGTGATGCTATGCATGTGTGTGCACATACAGACTTACATTTCTTTTTATAAAGATTTTATTTTTAAGTAGTCTCTACACCCAAAACATGGGACTCACACTTCCAACCCTAAGATCAAGAGTTGCATGCTCCTCTGACTGAGCCAGCCAGGCGCCCCCAGACTTAGAGATTTTTTTGAACAGATTTATGATCAGACTATATATAGATTTTAATCTTGCTTTTAAAATTCAATACAGCTCAAACATTTTCTTATGCTATTAAGAATTGTTCCAACATATACTGACCCTGCATAAAATACATCAGATGGATGCATCGTCTTTTATTCAACCTGTTCCCTCTTGTCAGGGAGTATATTATTGTATTCAAAATGTCATACCACAGATAACTCTGTGATGAACATCCTGTACAGGTATCTTGGCATCTCTGGTTATTTCCTTTGGAGAGATTCTAAGAAGAAGGACTGGTCAAATGTGTGAACATTTGAAAGGCTTTGATGTGTTTGCCAAATTACCCTCAGGAAGTGTGTGCTCATTTACACCACCCTGGGCAGGGTACGTGAGCTGTCCCCCCACACTCTGGCCACCAAGAACTCCTATCCCTTGAAACAGGATTTCAAATTACATTTGTTCTGAATGTAAAAGCAATATATATTCATTTAAAAAATTGAGAAGTGAAGAAAAGCATAACAAATAATGTTTAAAAGACAATGACTTCACCCTGAAAACTTTTGTTAACATTTTGGTGTACATCATACATCATATCTGTTCTTTGGTGAATCCATATATCTGTGTTTGTGAGGGTATATGCATGTATGTGTGTGTGTATATACAAATATACATAGTTACACACGTATCTACACACACACATTTGCAAAAGTATTGAGATTAAACCATTAAGAAATTGATGTTTTTAGGTAAAAATTATTGAATGAAGGCAATTTTATATGAGCCAAGCTAAAAGACTTACATAATTGGGATCAAATTGTATATACA